CGACTCGGTCCCCCCCCCCCCCCCCCCAACGCCCCCAAGTGGCTCCGTAATCTCAAGCAGCCTGAAGCACCTGTCAAAAGATGCGAATCCCCATCGTAAACGCGGAAGGCGATTCGCGGCAAACATCGTTATCACGTTACTCTCAACGCATTTCCCCCATCCAGATATCCCTCGCACTTTACGAATTTCAACTGCCGTTTTATTTAACTGCCATTTTATTTGAATTTTTCTTTTGCTTTCTAGGTTTCAGTGACGGAGGAGTTTCACTCTTCAAGGATGAGCCACGTCGGAGCTCAGCCATTGGGCCAAGTGAGTATCAGTATCATATACCAATGTATCATATGTATCATATGCTTATGTATCATATGCTTATGTATCATATGCCTGATTTACGTGGGCGTAATGGGCGTGGATTGACCTGGAGCTTGATGAAAGGTTATTCCCGACTCGTATATGGTCACATGGTCTTCGGGTGTCAGAGGTGAAGCTGTGTCCCCGGAATCGATATGGCCTCGGGTCTAATGGCTCCCCGTGCATGATATGGCACTTGGGACGCGTGTTTCCGATGTAACGGGGTTTCGGAGTAATAGTGAGCTGATCAAGGGGGTGTGAAAATGAGGTCCAATTAGAGGGAAGGGTGGCCTTTTTTTTTTTTTTTTTACAACCGGGACGTGAACCTTGAGGAAATGAGACGCTTCCTGTGTGTCTGCAGGGTACTCTGTGCGAACTCGTTTCGCTAAGGGTGACCACATTTTTCCAGTCTAGGTAAATAGATAACGGGACGAGTGGCCGAGTCTGGAGAGCGACACGGTCCAAATTCCCCTCTTAAATGCACCCGAGTGCAAAAAGTCCTAATTGGCTCCCGAAGTCTCGATTTCCAGGCGCGATACGCGGCAGACAACTCCTGTAGAACCCCTTGAACACGCGATATTGCGTCAGATTGCCGGTTCTCATCCGGCTCGGAAAGGCGAACCACAGGAAGCAGCACGGCCGCGATGGGAAAGCTCCTCCTCTCCCCTGCATTCAACAGAGTTCTTTCGTGCGTCGAGGGAGGCGTGCACGCCGATGCACGCCCTTGGATTCGAAATCTCGGAGAAAATTGCTTCCAGATGGAAACTGTTTTCTCTGCTCTTAAAATTTCTTATCCGTTGCTTTTAATTTTTTTTTCGTTGTTTGATTCAAGAGGTGACTTGTGCAACAGTTGCGCACAACAGGAACAGTTGCACAAGTTGTTTTTCATGCCTCAGGTGCGAAGTACGGGGAAAGCAGGCGGCATTTTTTATTTGTTTATCCACTTTCCTTTCGGGACATTATATATGCACGAGTATGAGTCGATCCTTGCCAGGAGCTACATTGAATTTCACGGGGTCTTGCGTTGCTTTCCCTTCCTGAGGACCCCGGTGTCGAATGTCAACCTGGAAAAAAAAAAAGAATAAAAAAAAAGAACAAAAAGAAGAAGCAGGACTTTCTCTTTTTTCTGCGCCCGAGGTTCTTTTTCCCCGTCCCATCATTAGTCGTCTCTTGATTGAGCCCCTTTCATAAAGTAACTGATTTCATTTTTCTTCCCGGCTCTTCCGGGCTTTTGCGACCGCGTGGATGAGACAGGAGGAGGCGGGAGGAGACATGAGGAGACATGAGTCGGGCGCGGTTGATGGACGCGAGGCGTTGCCAAGGGTCAAATGTCAAACGGGATCCCACACATTCCTTGGGTCGACGCACTCCAGTTATTTTCGGAGAAAAAAAGAATTTTTTTTCATGTGAATTTCTGACGTGTACAATGTGCATTTACCTTCGAGTCGGGCGTGCTTGGGAATTTCGGCTAAACGACTAGAAAATTGAGCGTTCTAATCTCCGAGCGTGAGTGCGCGGCATTTCCAAGGTAGCCGAATGCCCTTCTGACATTGAAATGTACGCGGAAGGCGGAAAAGCCGAATTTTCTCGCGCTTGCGGCGGCACGTGGGAGAGGGCAGTCGTGCAACACCGACGCCGCAGGAGTCTTCCAACACGTTCGCGCTTTATTAACCGCCTTATGGTCTCATTGTGGAGGTTCTCACCCCCCAAGAAGCTCGAAAGTCTGCCTGCAATCATTTTCAGGAACAAAGCCTGAAGTAAGCGGAGTACAGGACACGGACTGGCTCTCTCAGCTCTTTCCCAGGGGCGATCGGTCTTCGGCGTCTCATGTGAGATCCTAGGCGCTATCGGACTATAGCGTCTCTTGTGATCCTAGAAGCGATCAGGCTCCAGTGCCCCACATTAAACCAGGCGCGATCGAGCTCCCTTGTCTCACGTGATGATGGACACAGGGACAGATGGAGGAGAGAAAGGGAGAATGCGTTGTCGGACCGCTCTATATGTAGTTTCTCCAGGTCAGTCGTATTACAATGCGCTTGGATTCCGGGTCTCATGCGGTGAATCCCAATGATGTTGTGGACTCACTTTCTCTCCTCTCGGGCTCTCGGTCTCTGGTCGTCAACACCATCTTTTCAAAACCGCTCGTTAGTTTTTTTTTCCCATCCCAAGTGTTTAAAAATGCATCAGGTTCATCACAGGATGGGGTTATTAGAATTAACTACGTCTCAGAGGCTGCATAGCCCAAAATAGTGTGCTTCGACGGCTACTCTCTGTGCATGATGAGAGATGCCAGCCACTGAGTCTGAGGCATTGAATACCCGTCTCCCACTGAGACCGTAAAAACTGAAGACCACCCTCTATCGATGGGAAGCTGGTCTAACAAGGAAAAACCCTTATGGCCATGAACCTGGCCTATAATGAAGTGCCGATGGAAGCACCCAAATGAGATTTTCCTCTTGAGTGTTCTTGTCAATCTGCGCCCCTTTTATATATATATTTTTTCTCAGACGTATAGTAGGAACCATTCGCTTTTTGTTATATACGTGCAGAGAGGCGAAAGTCGAGGGAAGAAAAGTTGGATGGAAAAGTTGAATGGGTTCAGGAAAAGAAAAACAGTTTTAGAATACCTGCAACCAGCTTGTGTAGTTTAAAAGGAGCTATTTTAATTTCTTCGCTCTCGATTGGGCTGTCGGTAAATTCTAGTAATCGGTCTACAGCTTTGCTGCGAAAAGAGCATCTCAGATCAAGAATATGATTCGTTTCGGATTTGTCAATGTGTTGAATGGATTGACAGGAAAAACCAGTTTCCGACAAGGCTAATGTAGATATAAAGAAATTAGAAGAAAAGTCTGAAGTAGTAGTGGCTCTTCGAACTCGATTTTCCTTCTCTCAACCCCAATGCGTGTTGATAGCCCGGTATTTCTCTCCATAAAAAACGCAAAAAGTCCTCGATATCAACTCGGCATGCGAAAAGAGAAGACCTCGCGATCGATGAATTTCTCATGAGACATTTCTGGATCAAAATGGGATATCCGCGGTTTTTGGTGTGACGTGAAATGAAAGAGAAATGAAATTGAAGACAATATGAGAGCTCTTTTCTATTTCAAAAGAATGAATTACGTTTTTAGATGCTCATGAGAGCATGGCGACACATGTAGACACAGAGTGGGAAGGATTCTCATGGGAGGTTCATGAATGAATGAGTTTCATGAATGAATGAATGAGTTTCGTGAAGGAATGAATGCGGTTCTGTGTACGAATCCGAATTGTTTGGAGAAATAGTGCCTGCACCTTTTCTGATGCCAATCATCTCGTTCGGAAACAATGGGAAATGCGGTCTCTTGCGTCGCTCCGGGGCAAAGGTCACGCGAAGCAAAGCGTGACGATAATGACGAAAGAAAGGAAAAAAAAAAGATTTCATGAAAAGCTTTCAAGATCCGTACCGTTTTATTTTTTTATTTAGATGACAAGGTGGTTATCGCTAAAAACAAACAAAAAACTGGAATGGATTCTATCTGAGTAGTTTCCTTCCTCGTTCGTGGGGAAATTCTAAGCACACGAATGTCGGAAATGTGAAAGGGAGAAACAATGGCTTGGAAGCCTGATTATATGTGGACGTGGTAGGATTTCGTGCATTCTCGGCGAACCCCGGTGGAATGGGCCCCTCTGAGACGTGGATGAAGTCGGGAAAGTCGTTCCATGGGGTAAGCTATTCAATCATCCTCGACTGGCCGCGTCAGACCAGAGAAATTAATGACCGCAGGACCGGAGCTCGTGCCGCGCGGTGGGCGTGAGCGGAGGGAGGCCTTTCCCCCGGTAGACGTCAGATGGCAGGGCTTTCCACGTCGCGTCGCTTGGGGATTCCGTGGCGGTTTCGGTGGGTAGTCCGGCGGATCGCTCGAGTGCGGGCGAAATCTGAGAGTCTCCTTCGAAGCGGGGGGAAGGCGTTCGTGGGGAGAGTCATGGTTTTTGACAGACTGTCAGGAAATGTAGGCGAGATGAACCTTGGATGACTCGGCCAAAAACTGCCGCCTCCACGGGTCTTTAGGCAAATTTCTGGTGCCCTGACCAACATGGTCTGTAAGTCACGCACGGAAATGGCCCCCTCCCCCTCCCCCCCCCTTCCTCCGCTCCCAGGAGTGGACACTATGATAGATCGCTTTCCTCGGCATTCCTCAGCCGATCTCACGAGATGTAAACTTTCCATCATTTTGGACAGAGTTTTCATCTCTCTACTCTCGTTGATTCTCCGTGGGTTTGGGGAGGCCGGCAATCTCTAAACTTCACAAAAAAAATGCTCAAAGGCGTAGGAAGGGAAGGGGGGGGGGGGGGGGGGGGGAGGGGGAATAGCCTGATATGATCTCAGAACTTCCGGCTTCGGACACCCGGCCGGGGAGACACCAGAAACTCGCAGCGACGGACCCGCCTTCAAAACCGCCTTCGTCGACAGACCCGCCTTTGTCGCCTCGAGTGGACAGAATGAGGCACTCGTAAAGCTCTTTAGACAATGTACAGCGCTGTCGTGAGAGCGGGGGAGTGAACTTGAAAGATGAATGCCGAGTCACCATTGCAGGGCAATACCATTGCAACGAGATAAACCGTTTTTTCATGAGTCACGATTCGTATGGAACTAAAGAAAGCTTGGCTTCTTTTCGTAGTGGATCCAAGCCATTTTCGAAACAAAAACACTGCCACTTTTAAAAAGAAAATGCACTCACTTGATGATGCCATCTTCGATATAGACGTCGGCGTCCATCATCATGTCATCGTTCACCACTTTCCCTCCTTTGATGAGGATCCGATTCTGAGCGCTCTGAAAAGAAAAATCAAACAATTTTTAATGTCGAAAGGCACGTGCCCCGAAAAAATTGGCTCATCCGGGAAAATTGGCTCCGTGGAGAGTCGCTAAGGGTCAAGGGAGTCTAGGGGAAACAGCTGGCAAGAATATATGAAGTTCTGCGTGTCATGCATACGACCTCGGAGAGCTGCCAAAAACGAAGTCACGATCCGGTGTCAAGAGGTCTTACGTTACCCTGGCCTCACCTGCAGGTGAATCGGCACCTTCTTCACCGGAGCCTTTGCCATGACGGCACCCGACGCGATCAACCGACACGGGACGCCACAGACACCGACAACAACCGCCTACGACGGTCTCATCCCCGACACACGAGCACGGAAACACGCAGCGCGAGGAGACAGCCGTGCCATGAGCGCCTTGGCAATGGGAAATGAGCAGCTGGAAGGGTAGCGACAATGCACACAACGAGGCGGGTGGCGCATGGCCAGTAGAGATCTCCGCGGGACCCTCCGTCTGCGCTGGGGCCGCCGTCCGCGTCGCGCAACGAGCCGGCTATTTCGAGACTCGCGGTTGACGCATCCGCGCAGCCTCCTACGAGGGCACTCTCCCCCGCCAGCCAGTGCGGCGACGACGGGTGGGTCCCACGAACGCCTATTTTGTTGCGTTCGTAAAAAAAATTACGACCCAGGATGTCATTACGGCGGAAACGCTCGAGAAAGGGTCTTATCCCGGCATCACGCCGCCGCGTTACCAGCATCTGTTCCGCGTCAACTTATCTTCGAGATGGATTTATTTGCCAACCGTGAAGAACGCCAGGAAACCCCCAGAGGATGAAGGAAATATTTTTAGACAGGGCATTTGATGCATGAAGGAAGGAGAGAGGGGAGAACGAACGCTGCAATGGCCTTGATGAACTCTCGTCCCGACGCGGCATTTCCCGACGGGGGGGAAGAATAAGAGTTGTTCTTGTTCTCAAAATTGAGAGCTTCCTCGGAATGGGAGAGATATGACAGCCTATTGTATATTGTATTGCCAAGAGTCAAGGCCTACTCAAGATATGTTTATATAATGGTGTGGAGCCACAGGTAACCTGTCCACGTTCTGGAACATCTGTCAAAGGCGAGGTGATAGCGCGACGGGAGCCTATTGTGTTGTAATGAGATATGGTCGTTGGCTGCCATTAGATGGAAGTCCGGCCGAGCTCCCACTATGCTTTTGGTCTGCCCGGCAGTAACGCGAATCGCGTCTTGGCACGAAGATTCGTGGATGTGCGGGGAACCTTTCCGGTGACTTTCACGATATCTTGGCTGTCATTCTGGAAACGCAATTTTGACATGTAAAGCAACGACGTACATGGGTGGGGCCTTGACCATGGAAAGAATGTATCAGCACACGAGGGACAATGGCCTTCCACGGACCACGGACCCATGCATCTGTATCTCCTGGACAGGGATATAATATAACTGCGTTGCATGGCATGAAGTAATTAAAATTTCCGTCTTGCCATCTTCCCATCATTCTGCTCTCTTTCTTATCTGAAGTAGTGTTCGCAGCGGGGGATCGGGCCGCAATCCTCAAAGGTCTTTTATTCGTCGTAACGGTAATGGATATTTTCCCTTCCGAAGTCGAGGGGTCGTGTTCGAAACGGGCATGACTCATGCTGTCATGTCGGTTTTCGTATAGGGGAGTAGTGACGGGATAATGATGGAGATCCCAGCCACTTTTTTTTTGTGTGTTTTTCTGAACGTCAGGCAGCTGTCTGACATCCGGCCACGATCGTCTTTTATGCTTTTCGCATGGAAACTCATAAAATGGAAGGATTTTATGCCGCCTTGGCAAGCAAACGAGAAACCAGTCTTTTTTATTTTCGTCTGTCTTTGCCCTTCTCTATGACAGACAGAGAGAGTAGATGGGAAAGGAGAAAAAGGGGACTGGGAATGGGAGGGCGGGGTTGTGGAAAGCACGTGGATCGATAGAGGCTGAGAGAGGGGAGGGAAGGAAGGGGGAGGAGGGGGGGAGGGGGGGAGATTGTCATGGTCTGGGCAATGCCAATGCCATTGCCCCTTCCCGTGGCATGTGAAGCGCCGTAGACAGCAGCTGCCTATCTCCTCCCCCCATTCCCTTTCTCTCCGTTTGGACCATCCCCGTTCCCCTCCCCTTTGACCCTGGCGAAGGCCATGTTCGACACGTTTTACTTCTCTGTCACGATATATTATCCCCGTATGTTAAAAAAAAAGAGAGGAGGAAAATGCGCCTTTTTTCCACTCCCATTAGAGAGTAAGAGATGTGGAATTCCATTCTGAGGAAGGTGAATCAAATTTTATTTCTTTTGTAGATGTAAATGAATTTAGATTAACTTTAATTTCTGCCACTTAATGTTCTGTTTGTTTTTCCACTATTTTATTTTTTAAATTATCAAGAGGGAATTCGATTTGCCTGTTTTCCACTTGTATGCCGCCCGCATACGTAGTTTTTATTGTCAGAAATCATTACTCTCTGTTGAAGTCTGAGTTCTTGTATGCTTCCAGGCAAGTCGGGAAGGATCTGACGATCCCAGGTGGAATCAGGACGATCGATGCCAAAGGACACCTTGTCATGCCAGGTAACTCCACCTTCATATTTTCTTGAATACTTTTTTTCTTCCTCTTTCGCGTGCCGAGGCCGGCTGATTCGTCTCTGCCCTTTCTCTTCCAAGCGTTGATTGATCGATCGATCCTAACGAGAGAAAGCGAACTCTCTTTCCCTGTTTCTGTGTAGATTCGTTTGGGTGCTGCCAGGTTCCCGTAGAAAGGGGGGGAAAGCGTGGAAACGGCTGTCTTGAGGCTCTTCATCTCCGAGTCATTCAGTGGAAAGATCTTGCAGTGGGCGACTTCGAGAGTCCCCGTTTTCCCTGGTTACCATCGCGAACGCACGGAGTCATGCTGAGACAGGCGTGAAAACAGAGCAGCAATGGGAAAGGGGGGGAGGGGGTGGGGGGAAAAGGAGAGATCTGTCTAGTGTGAAGTGTGGCCCCGATGACTCATCCCTAGCGGGACCCCCTTTTGTCTGCCCCATCCACTTCGCCCCGACTCGTTGGACATGCTCCGGTCGGTGGTCGCGGGATTGGGGATGAACGGGGATTAGGAGCCCGATCGTGCAGATCTCGCTTCCATTAAAAACAAATAAAGCCGTTATGAAAACAGCGACTGGAAAGGGGCAGCCGTGACTTGTGGGCGTGGAGCAGAGCCGAATGCCGGTGAGACAGTTTTGGTGGATGGGGATCGGAGGTCTGCGATGAATTGCAGTGATCCGCAGAGTAACAACTCCAGAGTCCAAAGTAAAAGTATGAAAATAAAACCTTCACAGGGCTCATTTTGAAAAAATGCAATCGGAGACTGTCAATTTGAGGTTTCGGTTAACCTAGAAGTTGTGCTAGTCACACTTTTAAAAAGAAATAAACATTGATGAACTCATGATCACTTGGTTGAGACAGAAGCCTGGGAGACATGCTTTGAAATGATTAATGGAAGTGGCTATATGAGAAGTTCTCTTTTAAAATCCAGAACTTAAACATATGTTGCATGGAGAAATTATATGTATGATCTATCGCTTCATTTCAACCGAACTTGAGCTCCTGTGCATCTAAATCTAGATGATGACCAAATATCGTATAGGAGAAAGAGACGTGATTCGCAGACCCTCCGTTTACGAATGGCATACATTTGGTCAGTGGTGCACCCCCCCCCCCCCCCCCCCCCCCCCCCCCC